AAACAGAGCGACAATTTGTTGATTGCGATCAGGAATGATTTTTGTGCTCATACTGTTCTTTGTAGTATTTCTGTGGAAAGCATTTTTGTTCATTTAAAATATAATGATTTAGATTTGATTGTTGGGGGTGTGTATATTCCTCCTGCGTCTCCTCTTAGTATTTTCGAGGATTATTGTAGTGACCTGGAATTAATTTTTGAGCGTTTTCCTGATTCATCTTATGTCATCGCCGGTGATTTTAATTTACCACATCTCGTCTGGAATGGTAATGATATTCTTTTTGATTCATCGACTAGTAAACATGAATATTATGACGTTATTAACTCAACTTCAGCATTTCTGAATCTTAAACAAGTTAATTTATTTCCCAATGGCAGAAACGTTTTTCTTGATCTTATTTTTACAAATATTGTTGCACTTGCAGTTTTGCCTGCTGTAGATCCTATTTTTCCTCAAAGTCTTCATCACTCTCCGTATTCATGGTATATTTCCTGCACCTCTTCATCTTCGCTTCACTCTGAAGTTCAAATTTTTGACTTTAATAATGGTGACTATATTTCTTTAAATGAATTTTATGCATCGATTAATTGGGATAATTATTTTCTTGGTCTTAATTTGGATGAAAAAGTGGCAGTTTTTTATGACATAGTTTTTAACGGGTTTGAACAATTTATTCCACATAAAATATTAAGGCATAATGCTCGTAATAATTATCCGGTATGGTTCGATAAAGAATTGAAAGATCTTTGTCGCAATAAACGCATAGCGCACTCTATCTATAAAAAATCAAGCAGGTTTGAAGATTATATTTATTTTAAATCCTTGAGATCGCGATGTAAACAGTTATGTGAACAACTGTATGCTGCGTATATATCTAACGTTAATGTTAGTATTTTTAATAATCCCAAATTTTTCTGGAAATTTGTTCGTGACAAAAAGAAGAGTGACAGCAGTATTCCTGCTGAAATGACACTTGATCAGCACTCTGTAAAAGGTGGGGATGAAGTGGCTAATCTTTTTGCACAATATTTTTCTTCTGTTTACGCAGTTGATGACTTGAGGAATTTTGCTTGTTGTTTTGATTCATCGTCTCAAGTGAATGATTCTGGCTTATATATTAGTTTATCAGATGTTTTTAATCATATTTCCTTGTTGAAGTCATCGTGTAATCCTGGCCCTGATGGTGTTCCCAGCATTGTTCTAAAAAACTGTAAATTCTCTCTTTGCTTACCTTTATTTATCTTATTTCAAACGTCACTGAGTGAAGGCGTCTTTCCTCAATTATGGAAGAACAGTTATGTAATTCCCATCTTCAAATCTGGACAACGTAACAACGTGGACAATTATAGAGGGGTCTGCAACCAATCTGCAATTCCCAAATTACTTGATGCTATTGTATCCATTCAGCTCCGATGGGCATCTGCATCTATTATCTCAAGTAGTCAGCATGGTTTTTTCTCTAACAGGTCAACATTGTCTAACCTTCTTGAATACAAATCATTTTTAAATGAAGCATTTGCCAATCGATCGCAAGTAGATTCTGTTTATACAGATTTTTCAAAAGCTTTTGATCGGGTTAATCATCGATTAACGAAACTATTTAAAACTATTTAAAACTATACGGTCCATTCAAGACGCTAAACAACTTCAACTGGACTTAGTTGCATTATTTAACTGGTGTCAAAATAACTGTCTTCATTTAAACATTAAGAAATGCTATGTAATATCATTTTATAAAACCAAATCGCATATCAGTTTTGATTACCAATTAGACAATGTCTCCGTCTCACGAGTTTTAGAAATAAAAGATTTGGGGGTGATTTTTGATACGACCCTTACATTTAAGAGCCATTATAACCATATTTACAATAAAGCCATGAGTATGTGGGGTTTCATTTGGCGTCATTGTAAAGATCTGTCTCCATTGGCCCTAAAATCTCTTTACTGCTCTCTTGTTCGATCGCATTTTGATTATTGCTCTTCTGTTTGGTTTCCTTTTTATAAAATCGACTATGAGAGACTTGAAAGAGTACAAAATAAATTTCTTCGCACTGTGGAATTTAAAATGGGTCATTCTCATATTAAGGGTGACTACCGATGGATTATGGATAAGTGTCAAATTCACTCTCTTATTATCCGTTGGAAAATTTCTGATGCCTGTGTTCTTCATGACATTATTAATGGACATATTGACAATCCAAGTCTGTTGAACAGATTGTCTTTTCTTATCCCTGCAGTTGACAGTCGTACAACAAGAAGTCGAAACATATTTAGAATATCAACATCAACAACACTTTTGGCTCAAAATCATCCGTTAAGAAGAATGATGGAAGAAGCCAATGAATATTCCTGCCGCATTCGAATCTCAATCTTTGATTCTAGTAGGCTGAAATTTAAAAATGATGTGTCGGTTTATTATTATTATAATATGTAATCTTATTTAGTTTCATTTTCAACTTTTTATTTGTTTAATTTGTATTAATATTGTACTGTATCGTGGAATCAAGAAACACTGTTTTTTTTCCTTTATTTGTAAAGTGGAGTTATATTCCGTAAATAAATTATTATTATTATTATTATTATTATTATTAATTTGAGAGACGTTTGTAAGGGTTAACGGCATTATTTTCACGTGAAAACGTTTATGTTTATCAACTGCCAAACTTATAATCAAATGATGAAAAACACTGTTTACAATAACAGCCTCCTTTATTGTTTTATTTAAGAAAATATCGTACATGGTCTGTATTTGTTATTTTGTTAAATTTAGTTTAATTCTGCATTTATATGTCTAATTTTTTTGCTAATTGGTACAACATCTGTCAATAGTGAATGGTGCTTTAATAAAATAACGATCACTAGTTAAATTAATAATTTTTTATTTATAAATTTAGCAAAAAGTAACTGAAACATGTGTAAATATAAAAAAAAAAGAAAACATATAATACGTATAAAAAACATTTCCTGAATGCGCTTCTCAGGTTATTAATTTTTTTAATGATATAATTTTTGTCCGCGTTATTAATATTTTCCTCTCTACAGAGGTCAATCAGTTTATTGTACGCAGCATTTTTAAAATTTTTGTTGCTGTAGTCTTTAGATTTTATTTTCCACAGACATGGATAATTCCTGTATGTTTCGATAAATCTAGTTATAACATCAATAGATAAATTACGCGCCATCGTTTTTTTTTTTATAATATCAGTAATAACTCGATGAAACTGCGTTCTTAACTTCACGAACAGCACCAAACGAATACTAAATATTACTATTATTCCTGCACCTAAAAATCCATCTCTCTCAAATAACACTGGTCAACAAAATTTAATTTTTTCTCTCTAACTTTAACATAATTGTAATGTTTTCGTTTAATTTGTCTCTGTGTTTGTAACAAAGAGCATAAATCTTATAATTTAGCTCAATTAAAAAAAATATGCATATTTGATGTTAAAAACACAAAATCAGGTAAAACAATTTAATTTTGGTATCTTTAACGGCAAAACGTGTAGTATTAACAAAAGAACAACCATAAATAAGAAAAAAACAACGAATGCAATTTAAAAAACGAAAAAAACAAAAGAAACAGCCAAGACCTACGTTTTTTCGATTGCCTCCTATAGATTTCATTGGAGATCTCTCGCTTGATGGCCCCGCAGTATTCTGCGAGCATTTAGGTGTTCCATAGACCTTGGTAACGTTTTTATATCGACAAAATGCCCAGATGGAAGCATTCTCCATGTTGGTCACTCACGTAGTCACAATTTTTGGGGAAAAAATCAAGGTGCGAATGCACAAAATGCACTTTTAAGAATATGTTAATTTTAAATTTTTTATATGATGATAATATGTTTTCTACTTACTAAACGTAGTTTTCTTATTGTTTCCCAAGAAGTTTGTAGCAATTTGATAACAAAAAAATACACCTTATAGAAAGTTTCCTATTACTTAATAGTACGATTTTTGTATTTTTCAAAGCATAATACTTTAAAATTACTTTTAAATGAGAGCTAAGTTTTAGTTTAGCCCTTTATAATATCATTTAAAATTGCTAATTAAATAATAATTGACTGCTATAATAAAAGTTAGAGCTTAGCTGTTGACCAGTGTAATTTATGCCTATATCAGTTCATCCCTTTCTTGGCATCGTCTGTTGGCGGCCTTTTAAGAGGTGGCGTGAAATTTTAAAATGTCAAAAATATTTGTCACATTATTTAGGATTTAGGGGATATGAACCGATTGGCCTTCCACCGTACCACTGCCAGTACGGGGTTGGTATGGGTACAGGCAAAGACTTTTACAATAAGGACATAGTATCACAACATAGTTCACAATTTATGGCTGAAAGCTATGTTGCCGTGCACTTCAAGCATTTGTAGAAAAAATGTTTTGCACTGTAAAAAGTTAATTCACTAGGACTTGGAGAAGTTAATGGGAACCTCACCCGTGGACAATTTTCTTTCCACCCGTTGTTAAAAATTTGATGAAATCAAAAATTAATCATTCGGCTTGACCTTCTAAGCAGATTTTAAATTGGAAAAACGATGTCCATAATTACATAGCTAAAAAAATAAAAATACTAGATTTAGTCATTTCAAGCGATCTGAAATGGATATACATATTACTATTTTAGGTTGAAACGCATTTCGATTCAAGGGCATCAGTGCCAAACAGCAGTTAATTATAATTACAATACTGTTTCTACTATTTCTTTATAAATTAGAATATTGCAAAGTAATACTTGAGCAATATTTATACATCTGAGATAAAAGTCCATTTACCTTATCTGCAAACTATAAACATTTAACATTTTTAGTTTGAAGGTTGCAGAAAATAAATAACTTTGTAGTTTCACATTTATCATTTTTCATTATTTTAATACTGCTGATAGTAGTTGCATTTGCACTTTTTTACATGCCATTATAAGCAAAAGCTTCGACCTTATAAATATTGCACTCATAGAACCATAGCACTTATTTTGTTACAACTTCTTGCTTCTTGTGTATAATATTTGCTTAAAAATGAGCAGTTTTGGCTTCTGGGTTTTAACATGTAAGTGAAATTAATTTTAGTTTTACGCGATATTTTTCACAAAAATTACATTTGCTGAAAATGAGAATAAATTAAAGTGTAATTGCCAAGTGTATATTGAGGCTGAAGCTTGTATTTATTTATTTATACACAGTCCGTCTGTAAGCGCGCGGTCTTCTATACATGTACTATAATTCATTATTGGAAATTGAAAAAAAGTTAAAGACAAAAGTTGTATGGGTCTTTGGGGACTCCACTATAAAATTATTTTTAACTATACAGAGTGTTCTGGTTTTAAGGCGTAACATACGAATTAGTCTTTTATTAGCCCTTTCCTAGGCTTTATAATTACAGTTCAGTATTAAAATACCGAAGCGACATTATTAAAATTTTCTTGAAATTTCTTGATGGGTATATAAAAAATTCGCAATGACGTTATTTTGAAAATTTAAATTACCATATCTTATGGACGGATAAATAAAGAAATAGTCTTTTTTGTTACATTAATTAAATGAAATTTTAGTATACAGAGTGTTCATAAAACATCGAAAACTTATAATTTTCATATACCGATATTTTATTGCTGTCTCTTACTCTATTTTTGTTCTCATTCTTCTAATATGTCAATGTGTCTTAAAAAGTAAAATATTGCGGTAATTACAAAAAACTGAAATATCAATATGTATGTGAAAATTCCAATATTATTTATTTATTCACTGTACATGAAAATTGAATACCATTTACACCACAACAAAGCATGTATCTTTGTTTATCTCTACCCAAAATATTGTAATACTAGTTTTAAAAATAACCCTATGCGATTTTTTTTTGTGAACTCTTGCATTGTTAAAAAATTCAAGAAAATTGGAATAACGTGGCAATATCGCATTAGAATTTCTAAAATAAACTGTGTTGTCAAGCCTAGGAAGAGGTCAATCAAAATATCTAAAAATATGTAGGCTGTTTCTTCCAAAATATTAACTCGTATGTTATGCCTTAATCTAGAACGGTCTGTATAGCTAAAACCGTACAACTTTGGTTTTTGACATTTTTTCTGGTTCTCATAATTAATGAGATATCGAGGATCGCGCGCTTTTTTTTGTTTTGAAACGTCATATAATTTAAGTGACTATGTGACGCGTAGGTCATAGAAACTATTAGGTACTTGAACTTCTGATAAAATAAATCTCTATTAAATTTTCAGAACTATTATTTTACTATCAAAAATAAGTATATATTTTTATTATTTATAGATATATCTCTTCTAAATAAGCTAACGACGGCTGAATCGCCAATAGAGACTCCCTTGACAGGTAAGAGTAGTGGCAATAATGTTATATTTATGCAGTAACTATTATATACCGCTTAATAATTGTTTTTGTTGTCAGAAAACCCCGTAAATTGGAATTACTACAATCAAGGTAAAGTACTATTTAATAAGAACATTTTTGCACACTGATTTTTTTCTGAAAGAAAATATAAAATATTGGTAAAATATAGGTATATGCTCTAAAAATTGGTTTAAGAATTGGAGGTAGAATGAGAGGAGGGAAGATAGTTTGAAAACGTGCGTGTTACCGAGCTTTCGACGAGTCATAAATTGCCCTTCCAGCTCCTCCGAGAAACTGGTTGTTCCAGAAGCATGCTCGAAGTTGTTGGCTAAGTACTAGGCATAAGATACAAAAATAATTTAATAAGATAGAATATAAAAGCAGTAGCAGGAAAATCTAGTTTGTGTTTATTCCAAAATTAAGCAAATAATAAGACATTTTTACTACTTATGAACCTATTTTAAACTAAATTGGGCCGCCTCTGATCCTCCGCTAGGGCCATAAATGTCTTTTCCGCGCTCCTGTCATTCTACCTCCATGGTTTACGGTTATTTGAATCAAACTTTCCTCACCCCGGAAATACAGCTAAACAAACACAGCTTCTTCGAAGAATTGCAAAATTTAATTTTACAAATTTAATTTTTTGTGATAACCTCTGTAATTTAAAATAACGTTATAGAATTTCAATTTTTTTCCAAAAATCTGGATGTTTCTTACATCACACGTATAGGAACATATAACATTTTAAAATAGAAATTTTTTGAAATGACGTCATCAAATTGTTGGTGGGGATGATTTTTGTTAGCGTTTTACCATCTGCATGATATTTCTAATGCACATACAAAATTTGACAACAGTCCACTAGTTTCGGAAATTACGTGTCTAATAAAAATCGACACAGACACCAGACAGACAGACACACGGAAACGGAAGACTACCTTTTCGTATTCTAGGGGCCATGAAACGTCGAGGAAACATAAAAGTGGCTACTCATCCGACGGACTCGATTACTGTACTTCTTTAACTTACGCTCAAAAGATAATAATGAACCAATTTAATTTTTTATGTCAAATCACCTATATACTGCATCGACACCAATATAATTTTTACCTATAGTGCAAAAACAAAGCAGGTTTCTCTAATTCCTTTTTATAAAGAAATGACCGCTTCGATAAAACACCGCGTGGGATCAAAGAATCATTTTGTTGTTAAATTTAAGGATAGTTGAAATGTCTACATATAAATCGAAAGTAATGTGAAGTTTGAAAAAGAAATGTTGCTGTTTTTATCGATAGTGTTATGATTTGAACAATTTTTAGCTGATTGGCCTGAAACTCATTGCATAAATGGACGAAGACAAGCTCCAATACAGATAATAGAAAGTAACACCACACCGGTAAACTATGAAGATTTACAGTTTAGTGACGAATTTAGTAAAAGTTATAAAGCAAGCATTCTGAATGAAGACTATACAGTTGCAGTAATATTGGACGATAAGTCCTTGGAGCCACAAATTTCTGGAGGAGGATTAGAAGACAGTTACACGTTTATTGTGTTTCAGTTTCGTTGGCCTTCTGAGCATGTTGTAAATGCGATCAGGTAAATACATATAATACATGCTTGAAGTGATAAAAGAAAAACCAGTTTTGTTAAAGGTACCCTTTGGAGCTTGTTATGATCTTCTATAACTCAAAATATGGAAGTCTCATGGACGCAGTTCCCCATGAAGATGGTTTCCTTAATGTTGTTTCATTTTACAACGTACGTGATTTTAAAAACAAAAGTTGCCAGTTACATTTTTCAGAACTTTTAGACGTCTTCAAATGATAATCCTATTTTCGATAATCTGATTAACAGTGTTCCGCAAGTTAAAAATAAATTACGCACGCCCGTACCGCTAAAAGACGAAATAACCCTAGCTGATTTTCTACCTAAAAATAAAGAAAAATTCTATCGCTATCATGGATCGGTTACAAAACCATATTGTGACGAAATTATAACATTTTTAGTATTTCCGGAGACTTCGTGCATATCAGACACACAGGTGGGTACAGAATGAAAAAACTAGATTATCTACGTAATTTGAGTTTTTCTCAGTACGGTGCTTTGAAAAATATTATGGATCAACAAAATAAAACCGTTTCTTTTAATAACAGAGAATTACAAAATCCACACGATAGACCCATTTATAAAAAAACTAAAAATTAATGTAGTCTTCTAGAGAACAGTCAGCAACTACCTACATTTGCAACGGGGTGAATGGTAGCACTGTGTTAAATATAACTTAACTCACATGTACACGAATTCAAATAAAATTTTTCACAGGAGGTAGTCATTTTTCTTCCTTATCTTACTTTTTTGGTGGTAGAATATTGACAGTTCATCTCTGGGTCAAAACCCTATTATGTCAATGATTTCTGGTATGACGGCAGTTTTTGATCCTCTAGAACGTGATGCGTCTTTAGGAGATGTTCTCCCGTGCTTAAACTCATGAACTAAAAGGCAAATAGCCTCATAAGAAGAATAGGAATCGCTCAATGTAGGAAAAATCCTTGGACTTCTTTGAGCCGAGTAATTCATCAGACCATCCTTGTAAGAATCTTCCCGATTAATCCGGCTTTCAAACAAAAGAAAAAGCAGTGAAATCGGTTCATCCGTTTGGAAGCTACGGTGCATCAGAGAGACAAACAGACATCAATTGATGATCTTGAAATGATTGAAGTGGTTATCGTCAAACATAGCTAAGAACCAAAATTATAATGGCGATTGGGATTCATTTTTCAGTCAAGGTTAAAAAAAATGTTAAAGAGTACAACTCAAGCTCAACTCTCGTTTAGTTCACGTGTCGGTTCTCAAAAAACAGCTAACATAACATGTATACAGTGTATATTTTTTAAAAGTGGCTATAGGGATTCCCAAGTTAAATTTTAGACCCCACGTTAACTTTTGTAAGAGTAAAAACCCAGAGATGATTTTTTACGGTGGAAGTACCCTTAGGGTTCTACTTTAATATTCAATACCACTTTGCAGTTATTTCTACATTGTAAACATTATTTTGGTTAAAAAGTTTTGGTACATCATAGAAGGTTTTGACGTATCATTTTGACTTGTCATTTCTGACAGCGTAGCGAGCGAGTTGGGTAAATTTCATTTCTCTGGAAGAACCATTGGAGACATCAAAGAAATGAAAGCGGATATGACTTCTGGGGCCCCAAATCTACAAGAAAATGTATCTAGTGAAATTTCGAAAATTTTGTTGAAAATTGGTGCAAGAATTGGTGGTATTTTGCACATTTTTGTACATTTCAAAGGGCGATTTTGGAAGAACCATTGAAGATATCGAAGAAATGAAAGCGGATATAACTTCTGGGGCCCGAAATCTAAAAGAAAATGTATTTAGTGAAATTTCGAGAATTTTGTTGAAAATTGGTCCAAGAATTGGTGGTATTTTGCTCATATTTGTACATTTCAAAGGGCGGCTCTGGAAGAACCATTGCAGACATCAAAGAAATGAAAGAGGTTATGACTTCTAGGGCCCCAAATCTACAAGAAAATGTATTTAGTAAAATTTCGAAAATTTTGTTGAAAATTGGCCCAAAAATTGGTGGTATTTTGCACATTTTTGTACATTTCAAAAGGTGATTTTGGAAGAACTATTGGAGATATCGAAGAAATGAAAGCGGATATGACTTCTGGGGCCCGAAATCTACAAGAAAATGTATTTAGTGAAATTTCGAAAATTTTGTTAAAAAATGGTCCAAGAATTGGTGGTATTTTGCTCATATTTGTACATTTCAAAGGGCGGCTCTGGAAGAACCATTGCAGACATCAAAGAAATGAAAGAGGATATGACTTCTGGGGCCCCAAATCTACAAGAAAATGTATTTAGTAAAATTTCGAAAATTTTGTTGAAAATTGGCCCAAAAATTGGTGGTATTTTGCACATTTTTGTACATTTCAAAGATTTTGGAAGAACCATTGGAGATATCGAAGAAATGAAAGCGGATATGACTTCTGGGGCCCGAAATCTACAAGAAAATGTACTTAGTAAAATTTCGAAAATTTTGTTGAAAATTGGTCCAAGAATTGGTGGTATTTTGCTCATATTTGTACATTTCAAAGGGCGGCTCTGGAAGAACCATTGGAGATATCAAAGAAATGAAAGCGGATATGATTTCTGGGGCCCGAAATCTACAAGAAAATGTATTTAATAAAATTTCGAAAATTTTGTTGAAAATTGGTCCAAGAATTGGTGGTATTTTGCACATTTTTGTACATTTCATAGGACGATTCTGGAAGAACCATTGGAGATATCGAAGAAATGAAAGCGGATATGACTTCTGGGGCCCCAAATCTACAAGAAAATGTATTTAGTGAAATTTCGAAAATTTTGTTGAAAATTGGCCCAAAAATTGGTGGTATTTTGCACATTTTTGTACATTTCAACGGGCGATTTTGGAAGAACCATTGGAGATATCGAAGAAATGAAAGCGGATATGACTTCTGGGGCCCGAAATCTACAAGAAAATGTATGTAGTGAAATTTCGGAAATTTCGTTGAAAATTGGTCCAAGAATTTGGTGGTATTTTGCACATTTTTGTACATTTCAAAAGGCGATTTTGGAAGAACCATTGGAGATATCGAAGAAATGAAAGCGGATATGACTTTTGGGGCCCGAAATCTACAAGAAAATGTATTTAGTAAAATTTCGAAAATTTGGTTGAAAATTGGTCCAAGAATTGGTGGTATTTTGCACATTTTTGTACATTTCGAAGGACGATTTTGGAAGAACCATTGGAGATATCGAAGAATTGAAAGCGGATATGACTTCTAGGGTCCGAAATCTACAAGAAAATGTATTTAGTAACATTTCGAAAATTTTATTGAAAATTGACCCAAAAATTGGTGGTATTTTGCACATTTGTGTACATTTCAAAGGACGATTTTGGAAGAACTATTTGAGATATCGAAGAAATGAAAGCGGAAATGACTTCTGGGGCCCGAAATCTACAAGAAAATGTATTTAGTAAAATTTCGAAAATTTTGTTGAAAATTGGTCCAAGAATTGATGGTATATATTTTGCACATTTTTGTACATTTCATAGGACGATTCTGGAAGAACCATTGGAGATATCGAAGAAATGAAAGCGGATATGACTTCTGGGGCCCCAAATCTACAAGAAAATGTATTTTGTGAAATTTCGAAAATTTTGTTGAAAATTGGCCCACAAATTGGTGGTATTTTGAACATTTTTGTACATTTCAAAGGGCGATTTTGGAAGAACCATTGGAGATATCGAAGAAATGAAAGCGGATATGACTTCTGGGGCCCGAAATCTAGAAGAAAATGTATTTAGTGAAATTTCGAAAATTTTGTTGAAAATTGGCCCAAAAATTGGTGGTATTTTGCACATTTGTGTACATTTCAAAGGACGATTTTGGAAGAACCATTTGAGATATCGAAGAAATGAAAGCGGAAATGACTTCTGGGGTCCGAAATCTACAAGAAAATGTATTTAGTAAAATTTCGAAAATTTTGTTGAAAATTGGTCCAAGAATTGATGGTATATATTTTGCACATTTTGGTACATTTCATAGGACGATTCTGGAAGAACCATTGGAGATATCAAAGAAATGAAAGCGGATATGACTTCTGGGGCCCGAAATCTACAAGAAAATGAATTTAGTGAAATTTCGAAAATTTTGTTGAAAATTGGCCCAAAAATTGGTGGTATTTTGCACATTTTTGTACATTTCAAAGGACGATTTTTGAAGAACCATTGGAGATATCGAAGAAATGAAAGCGGATATGACTTCTGGGGCCCCAAATCTACAAGAAAATGTATTTAGTGAAATTTCTAAAATTTTGTTGAAAATTGGTCCAAGAATTGGTGGTATTTTGCACATTTCAAAGGGCGATTTTGGAAGAACCATTGGAGATATCGAAGAAATGAAAGCGGATATGACTTCTGGGGCCCGAAATCTACAAGAAAATGTATTTAGTGAAATTTCGTTGAAAATTGGTCCAAGAATTGGTGGTATTTTGCATATTTTTGTACATTTCAAAAGGCGATTTTGGAAGAACCATTGGAGATATCGAAGAAATGAAAGCGGATATGACTTTTGGGGCCCGAAATCTACAAGAAAATGTATTTAGTAAAATTTCGAAAATTTTGTTGAAAATTGGCCCAAAAATTGGTGGTATTTTGCACATTTTTGTACATTTCGTACATTTCAAAGGGCGATTTTGGAAGAACAATGGTTGATATCGAAAAAATGAAAGCGGATATGACTTCTGGGACCCGAAATCTAAAAGAAAATGTATTTAGTGAAATTTCGAAAATTTCGTTGAAAATTGGTGGTATTTTGCTCATATTTATAAATATAAATTTGTAATAAAAATTCGAAGTTCTTATTTAAGACTTCAAACCCCCCCTCCCCCTACAAGCAGGGGAGAGTGGGACTAGTTTTTTGCACTAAAGCAGTTCCCCCATAGAATAATTAAATTTTTTTTAGAATGCTTATTTTTCGAGATACTTATTTGAAAATTTATCAAAATCATCTTGTAGAATTTAGGCCCTAAAATGCCTCGATTTCGCCCATAATAATTAGACGGGAAACTGAAAAACGGATCTCGTGTTATGACCTGAGTTGAAATTTTCCGTGGTTCGTTTTATTGGTCTATTAATTGTTTCTAGCACTCTGTGATAACCTGATAACCCCGAATAGATAGTCGAATTTATTAAAAATGAATCCACGTTTCTGCGCAGTTCCTAACAGTCTTTAAATACGGAGCGCTGGTGTTTAGAACACACCAGAACACCAGAGTGTGAAAGTGTACTACGGCGAAGTGTTTCACGGTTTCCAGCATGGTGAAAACATGAAGCTGGGTTTAGATGTGTTTTATACTAAAATGAACTCAAGTCGGTAGTTTGCGTTAAGAATTTTTTTTGTATCGCTTCTTCGATTTCATCATTGGTCATTGGGTTCTTTGTTATCATGCTGGTAAGTTTCTTTTTGATGCAAAGTTTATTTTCTTTATCAACAAGATGGGATGTTAAATTAAAAGAAGGAAGTTATTGGTAAATTAATTAATTATCTACAAGCTCCGGAATTTACCAGCCACTAATATGGAATGTGATTCTTCGGTCATCGCTTATTATCTTATCAGACTTTAACAGCCGTCTGACCTTTATTTGGTACGCTGACATTAATAAATACAAAATTAACAAAAATAACACAAATTCTAAAACAATTTTAGGTAAACAGATTTTAGATATATTTCAAAATATTATATATTGTCTTCTTGGGTCAG